CACAAAGTCTGGGTACATAAGGATTAACACATACTTTTAAAACAAAATAATTTTATTTGATTCTAATATTAATAAATAACATTTTCAATATGATTTTCATCATTTTCAATACATAATTTGATGTGCCTTGCAAAATTCAGGTGAACTCGATTAAATAGGTCTGTATTGCTGTCGATTTCGGCACACTGACTGGTAATGGTGTCCACAAATTATGGCGCATCAAATTATGTATTGAAAATGATGGAAATCATACTGAAAATGTTATTTATTAATATTAGAATCAAATAAAATTATTTTGTTTTAAAAGTATGTGTTAATCCTTATGTACCCAGACTTTGTGAACATTCTCTTTATATATTGAACACAAGTGTACTCAGCAGTAACCAACACTTTATTAGTTGCTGAGGGAGTTTATTAAAAATGAACGTTTTCGATCTACTCAATAGATAGATCATCATCAGGTTAGAACATTTAAAATGGTATACAACATAAAATGGAACATTACGTTCAAAATTCAAAAACCAACAACATATCAACTAAAAAGAATAAAAACTATATATGATACATAAAATGTAAAAATAAATAATATACTACTATAGCTAAACCTTAATACAATCCACCATAACCAAATAGAAGTTACTAAGTTTCCTTTAAAGCGATTATGGATCGTATTTCGGTTCATGAGCTACTTGTGTAAAGTACTATCTTTTTATCGGATCACTCTACAACAATTCTTATACAGGAAAGAGCCGTTACCTAATGGGTACTTTATGCGGGTTTGCATTTATTGTTGCCAGGCCTGGACTTTTCGCGTGCACCAAAGTAAATTAAGGAAAAAATTAGTCAAAAATCAACAAAATATTTACTAAATATCTAGAAATACTATTTACAATATGTACAACAATCAACAAATTTATTCAATAAAATCAAATCCAAAGTCAACCCGACAAAACTCAATCTTATTCTAACTTAGAACTATTCTCCTTGGAATTCCGACAAAAATCAATCCTTAACTTAGGTACAGAATTTCTTATAACTGCAAATCCTAACCGTCACCTCAATTATACTAGGAACCTTTTTCTCAACTCAAGACTTTTCCTATTCCTCGATCCACAAATCGAATACTGCAATCGCCTTGGACTATTTCCTATTGGACACCTCGTTCACTGCTACTAGCACACCAACGCTTATTCTTTGCAGGAGCTCACCTCTCCCGTCTTCACTTGAGCTACGCTATTTATAGTCTAAGGTGACGTCACAGTTTCTAAGTGAGACACTCCCCTCATTTACATACTTACACGTAACAGTCACTTTTTTCTTGTTTATCTGGTAGCTTAATTCCCGACAATACTTTATTAACCTTTTACAGTCTTTTGTTGAACAATTATTGGGATATTTCCTTTAAGGTTTAACAAGTTCCTAAAAGTCTGTGGGGTCTATCCCCCCTTTCAGTGCGGGCTTACTATCTGCCGCTCGGGCGTGCACGTGAGTGTGAGTGTTAGCTATGGTGCTTTCTTTTTTTTCGTCGGTGAGTTGGTTTTATCTTCTCTTTTTAACTTTCTAAGGTGAAGGGTGAGGAAACCTTCGTCCTAACTAAACATAAGCTCCAAACAAAAATATAATAAAAGCAAAATAAAAGTAAATAAAAATAACGCTCGGACTTGGTTCCTTACACTTGTAAGCTTTTTAATGGCAAACTTCCGAGCTAAGGGAAGGCCCTCTGCGTCTCTGGCATTAATGCATCTTTCACCAAGTTTGCTTCTGTATATTTCCATTTTTTCGGCAGTTTTCGCTAAAGTTGGAGAGTGTACTTGTCTGACAACTTCTGCTTCCTCCCAGCCAACCACAGATTCTTTGGTTTGAGCCATCTGGGCCAATATCG